CCTTGCTTGTTAGAAGATCGTAAAAAGTTATCAAGTGACCCAGGGACACTGCGACTGTCACAAATATGAATCATGGCCATGTGACCATGGAGATGCTGCAATGGTCCTAAGTGTAAAAAATGGTCACATGTCACTTTTTTCAGCGCCTTTGTAACTTCAAATGGTCACTAAACAAACGGTTGTAAATTGAGGACTACCTGTACCTGCTCTCTAATCTTAATTTATACTTACAAGACAAATCCAATGCTGAGAGATTTTCAAGGCCTCTTTTCATCACTCGAACTCGTGCTGTCATTTTGCGAAGCCCAATATCTGATAAGCAGTTATCTTTCAGGAGAAGGTGAGTTAGACTGAAGTAAGAGGTAAAAATTGCAGTTTTTACAAAAACAATTGTTAATTGTTAAAGAGTATTTCCTGAAAAGTATCAATTATTATTTCAGGTTTCCTCTCTCATTTAAAGACTGGCATGAACTCTTTATCTAATCACACTTATCATATATTAATAATGTTCAGGAAAAAACCATTGATTCAAAAAACATATTCTAGTACCTTAAAGTTTGTCTCAAAAGTGTATATAAATAATAAACCTAGTTAATTTATTAATCTAACCCAATTTGTTGTATATGTCTGCAATTGCAAATTTGAACAAACTGCAAAGAATTGTAAATTAAATAGGTATGACACTATTCCTCTAGATTTATGACTTAATTGTTTAAACAAGGCTGTAAAAAAGCATTTAAAAGAAATAGGTCTTTTTGTATTACATGGATTATAGTACGACATTAGCATGAAAAAGTCCCTTTCTTTCTTTGAAATATTTAAGCAGTCATATCCTTTTCAGACTTTCTGCTTCAAAAGCTGTCCTCAGTCCATGTGCTATACACATGCATGTGCATGTCCAGACAACATTGCTACATGGACTATTAGTGAAGAAGATGATGAACATGTCTACAGAAACAGCTGTTGTCTGTTGTTAGATTAATAAATATAGACCAGATTTAGATACAGCACTAAATCATGTTTTGGTTAATCTGGTAAGTGGAGCAACCTGTAATTGCTGAATTGATACAATATCCCAAATCATAAATCAACAGGTTTCATTATAGCTCACACACACACACACACACACACAATTTTTTCCTGATTTTTCTCCTTAATCTATAATTGTAAAACCAGAAAAATTTAAGAACTTCCTTCTATGAAAGGTAGTGTCTATGGAAATTTTCAATCAACCAGTTAGAATTAAAGAAGCTTCTTGGATGAGAAGCAAAACATTATTTGGGGGAGCGGGGGGGGGGTGTCAAGAAAATGTAGTTGCCTTTTGGAAAAAGCACCTTTGGTTCTTCCTTCTACATTTTTTCTGCCATGAAATGCATCCTTGTGAAGGAAGAAAGCCCTTATAATTACCTGTATAGAGAGAGCCAAGGTAATGTACAGTAGGCCTTGACTTACGAGCACAAATGAGCCCAAAATTTCTGTGGCTAAGCAAGAAGTTGTTAAGAGAGAGTTTTGTTCCATTTTATTTTTCTTACCACACTTGCTAACTGAATCACTGCAGTTGTTAAGCTAATCATACGATTGTTCAATGAATCTGGCCTCCACAATGACTTTGTTTTTCAGAAGGTTGCAAAAAGGGGGTTGCCTGACTTTGGACACTGCAACTGTCATAAATATGAACCAGTTGCCAAGCATCCAAATTTTGAGCATGCAACCATAGGGATGCTGCATCGGTCATTAAGTGTGAAAAACAGTCATAAGTCACTCGTTTCTGTGGTGCTGTAACTTCGAACGGTCACTAAATGAATGGTTGTAAGTCAAGGACTACCCGTAATTGGTAAGGTGTAGGATGTCACCAGAAAGATCCAGTATCAAATCTAGCATGAGCCTTAGAAAGTCTTTGGGCCAGTGACTCTGTCTCTCTCTTAGCCCAATCTATTTTACAGGGTTGTTGCTTTGACGAAAAAAAGAGGAGAAAGGAGGGTTATGCATGCCACTTTAAATTCCTGAATAGAAGTTGGGATATAAGTGTAACAAATAAATAAATAGTAGAATTTAGCATGTACTTTCAGCTAGCACATACAAAATCAACCAATCGAATAAAAATTTTCCAACAAGTGAAATATGTAATAATTTATTCCATTTGTAAGATAAATGTATTTCAGCCTTGTTATAATTAAAACTGGAACTAATTTCAGTTGCCATAGTTCTCTGAGCAATAAACAAACAAATGAGAATGGTAATTTATCTCACAATTATTATTACTGTACCTGGACAGACTTTCATTGGTGACGTGCTCTAGCAGCTCATGGCCGTCCCCAAGTTTACAACAAGACAAATCCAAATATGTCAGACCTCGGAAAGATTTAATTTCTTCAAGTTTTTCAGAGATAATTAGAGAACTGTAAAGAATAAAAAAAAATGTAAGCTCCTACAACGTAGTGCTGTCTTGGGCACTGTCTTCTATTGCTGAAGAATTAATATTACTAATCATCTTTACAAACAAGATTATTTTCTTACAGTATTTTGTTTGTTTTGGAAAATAGCTTGGGTCCCATATATTTTGGAAAAAGCAACCACAGATTTTGTTAAATGCCCAGCCTAAGCCACTTTTATTTATGCTCAATTCCATTTCAATATAGCATTGAAAAGAAGTAATGGAGAAATGCGCTAGTAAAATCATACAATAGTCAGGATCTCAGAAGTAATCTGTCGAACTCCCTGCTTGTGCATGTTCTATTAAAGCAAGGATTATGCTTATTGTCTAAAGCACAACTACAATGAAACCAATTTTCTTTCATTTACAATTTACAAAGCATCTCAACAAAAGGCAAATGTGATCCAGGTTCTTTAGATGTCAATACAGTTTATTTTCAGATAACTGTTTGAGAAGATTGCAAGTATTCCTGTACATTCAAAATCTACAGTAATACTATAGAAAATAGGTATTTTATTGGGGGCGGGGGTGGGGGGAGGGAATACTTCAACTTCTATAAATCTCAATGAGCATGAAGCCTTAACACATTTGTGGAGTAAATTAACTTAAAGAAGGTTACCCTGTATCTTTTGTAGTTATTTATACATTCACAACATTATTTCTCATACAAAACAGCTACAACAGTACAAATTAAAAATCCTATAATGATAAACTAATAAGACTACCTTATAAATATTAAGCCAGAAAGATTAAATTCATATTTAATATCCTTCAACTGAAAATGAAGCGATATTTCGGTTTCCAGTATAGAACAGTTCAAAAAATAAAGTAGGCAGTTCAATCTATCTATTTGCACTGATCTATTTGCTTAATTTCAGAGAGCACTCCAATTTTACACTTCTTGAAAATCAATATATATATATATATATATATTACCAAATATATATTATCTTACAAACATACTACTATTTAGCAAACTGTTTGTGCTTACCCATTTCTCAAGCATAGCTTCTGAAGCACTAAGCATCCATAAGCATTAGTGAATGTCTGCAAAGCACAGAGCCCTGTTTTTGATTCCATGAATTTCTGCCTAGCATCTGCAGCATAGAAAAGCTTTTCTGCTATCTGTTCTGGAAAGTCATTCAGTGAATCAACATGATTAATATTGTCAGCAATATAGCTCAGGACTAGGCTGAAAAGAGACTTGGAAGAATAACGAAGACTTCCCTCCTTTGTGTAAGTGAAGATAAAATTATCTGTCCTTCCATTGTCATTTTCCTTGTTGACACAAAGCTCAACAGAGAATTCTTTAGAGAACAATCTTGAAGGCCTTGAATTTGGAGTATAATTGACTCTTCTTCCTGAATCTTGATTTATCATAAAGAGCTGACCATTCTCTCGAACATATACAGGTTCTCCTTCTGGATCATTTTCGGCATCAAGATAGCATGACATTCTGCTTTCAGATTTCTGGAAGAAAAAGTCAAAATGAAAAGCATTAAAGAAGCGGAATAAATTTCCAAATTTATTTCACTTTTGGCTTTTTTCACTCATACAGAGTATTTTTATACATAAATATTTTAATATTAAACACCTAAGCTGAAGGAGTTTCCCAAAAGCAGAGAGATAATTGTATGCCTTTATGTCCTTGCAAGAGAAAAAAAAATCCATATAACAGCTATCCTTATTTTAAAATTCATAATCTAAAGCAGTACGTATTTCTCAACTCTGCAACTTTAAGTTGAGTGGACTTCAATTCCCAGAATTCCACAGCCAGCTTGCTCGTTTGCTTGCTGTCTGTGGAATTCTGGGAGTTGAAGTCCACACATCTTTAAAAGTTGCCAAGGTTGAGAAACACTAGTCTGTAAAGCAAGATTAATCCAATCCAGGAAACTTAAAAAGAAAAAAAGAATATACCTGCCGTCCGGAGGAACTTCTGAAGACGCCTACAGCGTATCGGTATGACTGTAAAGGAGCAGTCAAACTTCATCCACTGCCAGTATTTTAGCAAATCCTTTCAATTTACATGCAATATAGCCAGGGTTTGTTTCTGTTTCTGCAGGGGAACATTGGAAGCAACCAGCAGCCTCCCCAAAGCCACTCTGAGGTGCGCAGTTGGGGAATCCACCCCCAATCCGTCGCCTCCCAACGCGGGAGGTTTCTGTGAATTCACCTCAGAAAATACAAACATGTAAAATCACTTGCCCCCACTTTAGACCGCGAGATTAGCGATTGGGGGGAAAAAAAAAAAAGCAACGCGCATGCGTGCGTGGCCGGAGACCCTAGAGATAAAAATGCAAAGCCGTTTCCCGAGAACGAGAGTGGTTGAAGGCCTTTGAAAGTTCACATCCAATGTTTTGAAGGGCACCACATCTCCATACCCTTGCCTAATTTACCTAGCTCTTTGGGTTTATGCACAATATAATTGAAAGATTCACTGCTCGTGAATTGGTTTCCAGCACGTTGCAGAAGAGTTGGACTATGCAGAGAATTGGACTAGACAGAAGTACACTTGCGGACTTCAACTCCCAGAATTCTCCAGCCAGCACGGTTGGCGTGGGAATTCTGGGAGTTGAAGTCCACAAATCCCGGGATTAAATGATCCTTGCCGTCCATGCCCTGAACTACAAATTATCTAATCCAGATTTTAGGATGCCACTTCCGTGCTTCCAAGCGAGGTGCTGCTAGGCAACAGAGGCGCTCGGCCGGTAGGAGGGAAAAGAAGGGACGCTTTGAGGCGGCCGTTTGCGAGGCTTTGAGCAGGGATGAAGTTTACAGATTGTTGCCTCAGCTCCGAGGGAGCTGAGGTTATTTTAGCAACATCCAGTGATGAAATATACCCGGCGGAAAACATCATTGACGGGTGAGCCTTGAGCCGTCGGGGTCGTGTTGAGTGTTGAAGGGATTCACTCGGGACCTCGGGAGACTCTCCTTTTCAATCCTGACGACTTTTAAGATGAGTGGACTTGGGGGAGTTGAGTGGAAAGTGGAGAAACACTTTTTTTAAAAAAACTTTGCGCATGTTAAAGTCATCTTGCCAAGGTGGAAAAAAAACACTGCCTGTGGAAAGGTGGAAGATGGAAAAAACACTGCCTGTGGAAAAACAAGGTGGAAAAACACTGGCTTCAGGAAAGGCCAAGACTCAAGAATGGGGACAAGAATTCAAGATTTGAAAAATCTGTTACATTATGTGTACAGTATTAACCGTTTATTTATTTGTTAAATTTATTTGCTGTCTATTCCTTGGGGCTACCTGAAGCAGCTTGCAATAATATAGCTTACCTTTTCCCCAGAAAGCTCAAAGGAAAGTATATTTTTCTGTTTCTCGGGTTATCCCCACAGCAATATTTTGAAATAGGCTAGGCTAAGAAATAAGAGTAGGTTCAGGAGTATGATTGAATATTGTGCTAAACTGTGGATTGCTTAACTATGTTGAAACCATAGTTTCATACATAGCCTATGATGAATAATTGCATTTTATTCTCTCCTGATAGGCGATCTGAAACTTTTTGGACTACAACAGGGATGTTTCCTCAGGAATTTATTATTTCCTTTCATAAATGTGTGACCATTAGCAAACTGACAATTCAATGTTACTTAGGTAAGTTATAATATGTATATGTTTTCAACTTATGTATCTTTTCTGCAATTTTATATACTTATTTTAATGTACTGTTCCATAATATAGTTGTATACTTCATATAATGAGAAATAGTTATGCATTTATACTTGGGAATACTGTATAGACATTTTCACTGTAGAAGAATTGGGCCGTGGTTCATAATAATTTTTACATATATTTATAAGAAAGTATTGGTTATTATTAATATGAGTTGCACAGGCAATTCTCTTTATAATTATAATTCTTTGTAGATGTGTTTGCTTGTGTTTTTTCCTGAATAATTTATTTTTTGATACATCTGTAACTAAACACATCTTTGAATGTAAAATGAGATATTAGAAGTTTCCCATATTTGTATCCTAGGATGGATACCTTTAATTTCTGATTACCGTAATATGAAGCCATCCTGTAATAGGGTTTTTACAATAAGATTTGTGTTTGGTGACACAAACATGCTAATATCATTAAATCAAGTTACAGGTAGTCTTTGACTTATAATCACAATTGAACCCCAAATTTCTGCTGCTAAATGAGAAATTTGTAAAGTGCGTTTTACCCAATTTTACGACATTTGTATGATTCTGTAAGTCTGTGCAGCTATGTGGGAGATAAGAAATGTGTGTGATTTTCTTTTGATTGTGTGATCCCTAGAACCCATTTGATTGCATGTTTCCGAAAATTGTGGCCTAGTTTCTCAATGTTTTGGGAGAAAAAATGCCTAAAATTGCTCTATGCCCTAAAATAAGGTGAACACAATTAAAGAAAGGATAAGCCATTTCCAAATTCAAATTATCATGGTCCCAATATTTTATAGTATTGTCCTCTTTATATATATCAATCCTCCATCCGCAAAAGGTGACCATAACAAATTATTTTTGTACATGGAGTATATTGATCACATATTTCTCGCACTCCTCACATTTGACGTAGCCTAGCTTTCTATTGTATTTTAATGGTTCTGTATCTGATAATTTTCTTTGGTGAATTGTAAAAATGCAATAAGTCTTACTAGTGCCCTTGTGTTAAAGCTAAGAATTATTTTATTAATAATTTTGAAATATTAAGGTAGAACTAATATTCTTACAATTAATAAGATTTTAAAAAATATTTTCTCTAGTGAAGAGGCTACGCATTGAAAAAAGTATATCTAAAGATCCGGTTGATTTTGAAAAATTCACTGAAAAAGGTAATTATACTTAATATTGTTATGATTCAGTGAATGCTCATAATCTTTTGAATTTCATCAAGACTGAGGGCTATGGTTATTATAAATAAATTCTGTTGATCTCATTTTTTGTATAACATTAGACTAATAATATACTATTAAAAGTTCAAAGGAGGTATTGTAATTTTTTTTTACTTCCAGTATTTGTAATCTGCAGAAACAAAGGCTATTTCAATATATTTCACAAGTTGTGTTGTTGCACCTAGAAAACAGCAGTTGATTGTTTGTAATGCATTATCCAATTATCAATTTCAGGTATGCTCTGAATTGAACCTGACCTTTTCTGTGACATGTGATTGTGGGTAAAAATCAGTCCTCGAATTCTTCTCCACCTTGTTGGGGAAGAATAGTCCGCAACAGTGGGTGATACTTTAAACTCTATTTCTCTTTTTCATGATATATATCATTATGAAATAGATAGATAGATGATAGATAGATAGATAGATAGATAGATAGATAGATAGATAGATAGATAGATAGACAGACAGACAGACAGATATAGACAGACAAACACAGTATTAGAATAATATACCAATAAGGGCTATATGGTATCTCTACCTCTGAGGTTTTTAAGTGGAGGCTGCACAGCCTTCTCTCAGAAATGATTTAATTGCTGTTCCTGCACATTGCAGAGAGTTGAACTAGATGATTCTTGTGGTCCCTTCTAACTCTATAGTTATATGACTATGATTCTGAGAAACATACATACATCAAGATATGAATGCTGACTTGCTTCTTCACTGGCTGACTGTTAGTGCTTAGAAATTAAAAAATGGGTTAACCAACTTAAACCAACAAACCCACAAGGTAATGATTTCTTAATGGCAAAATGCATATGTAACAACTTAGAATGGTGAATCCCAGTTTTAACCACCCACTTCTTTTTCTCTGATTGCTCTAGACTATAATGATTTCAAAAGACTGGGGTACAGCAGTAATAGTCCTTTTTATAAAAAGAAAGAATGGCACCCTAATAATTTACTAAGCATTATTAGCAATATTTATGCCAAATATTTAAATACAAAAAATAGTGGATTGAATGGAAATAGAACAAGTGCAGAGAAATAGGCTGATGTTAGACCCAACGTCCCTTGATCTTGCCTTTATTTTACAATAACTGGTAGAAAAGTCTATGGCTAAAGTAGGATTTGCCCATATGCTGCTTCTGTTGATTTTAAGTTTGCCTTCTACTTGATTTCTGGGCCTTAGAAAGCAGATAAGCTCATCAATTCCATTATTGATAGATGTCTATTATTATTGCTGCTTGAGCTTCATGAAAAAGCTTGTCTAAAAATCTAATTTACTTCACAAAATTACACAACTAAAGCAATTACCTTGGTTTGGGAAGATAGGATTGTATATTGGCATCACTATTATTTACTTTTTTCATAAACTCTGACCATCTATCTGAATATCCTTACTCCCCCCCACAACAGTGCTCATATGTTTCAATAAGCCAGATATGTAGTTTTATCTCAGACTTTCACTGGACTAAAACATACCCTAAGATCATCAACCATGCACTGTAGGGACTGTGTAAAGGCAAAAATATTGATATTAGCTAAACAAGTTAGAATCCAGAAGTAGCAATTTAAATGGCCATCAAATCAAATAGGTCAAGGTTTTTAAATATATTGGAAAAAGTTTTTGTTCTCCAATAGGAGATGTGCTAATCTGGATTATGTCGTCCAGAAAACTCAAAAATCAGCTTTGGCAATTGGACCATATTTTGATGAAGGGATGCCTGCTGCCTTAAAGCTATTTTCTGCCAATGGCTGCTCCTAGCTTTTGAATAGCATGTAGCTTGGGCCTTATGATAATAACTCAAAATTAGAAACCTGTACATTCAAAATTTCATCTTTCATACTGTATCCCATATCCTGTTTTAGTGTTCATCTACTTTGGGGGTTGGAGTTAATTCAGATAATATCTAAGATATGAATCATTTTCTTTTCTTCTTGGTTAACATGAATATTTTTACCCACTGGCTTAACTCCACTAACATTAGAAGATAATTTTAATACTAGATGGAGATGTCAGAAAAAAATTCCCTGCATTTGTATGAATTCTCTCTGGGGCACAAGCAGGCTAACAGTATTGATGCAACAAGTTCTGGACAATTCGATCAGTCCAATTTGCCCAGTGTTGTATTTTTAAGTAAACAGTCTCCCTTTTCAGCCCTGCAATGCACTAAATTGGAAACCCTTTAATACTAGATCACTTTAATGCCTTGCCATCAGCTGTTAGATATAAGAAAATTTCCTGCAGGGGTCAGTCACATGGACAGGAGGTATTAAGAATCCACTGCCCATTATACTGGAGGTTTTACAGAGATCTGTTAGCCTGCTTTATTTATCTTCAGATAGTAAGATATCCTGAACAAATGGTGGTGCACTGGTTAGAGTGCAGTATTGCAGACTACTTGTGCTGACTGCTGGCTGACTGCAATTTGGCAGTTCAAATCTCACAGGCTCAAGGTTGACTCAGCCCCTTCCATCCTTCCGAAGTGGGTAAAATGAGGACCCAAATTGTTGGGGGCAATATGCTGATTCTGTAAACAGCTTAGACAGGGCTGTGAAATGGTACATAAGTCTAAGTGCTATTGCTATTGCTATCTCTTATATACCACCATTCTTTTATTTGGCCAATGAGATTCCATCTCTCTGTATTGCTAAGTTATGCTATATAGTATTACTTCTAATATAGGGGTACGGTGGCCTAGCAGTTAAAATGCTGGACTTTTTGATGGAAAGTTGGCAGTTCGAGACCCATGTACCAGATGACAGCTCCCATTCTTGTCCCAGTTCCTGCCAACTAGCAGTTTAAAAGCATGCAAATGCAATAGATAAATACCACTTTGGTAGGAAGGTAACAATGTTCCATGTGCCTCAGCGTATAGTCATCCACATGACAATGGAATTGTTTTTAGACAATGCTGGCTTCTTGGCTAGAAAATGGAGATGAGTATCACCTAGTAGTGTCAGGCACGACTGGGCAGAGGAAACCTTTACCTTTATTACTTCTAACATCTCAAATGATGGTTACTTGCTAACTAAAATAAAAACATTGATTAATAATTGAATAAATGATTCTGTAGTTGTGTATATGCCACATATGCAGCTGTTTTAATTTAAAATTGAGGTATTACCAAGACTAACTCAAGAATTGCAGTTCTTGTGATTATTTTAGTTTTAGGGTTAAAGTTTTAGTTTTAAATAATATTTTGAACTTGGTAATATTAATATTAAACTCTGATGAGATTTAGGATAAGAGTTTTAATATTGCTAATACATAGCCCAGTATTTTATATTTATATATAATATAAATATCAATTTTGTTTTGGAATTCTTTTCTTTGACTGCTTTTGTTTTATGTTGATCATGATCGAACTGAAGACTAACATCAAGATATGGGTAAATTGTTAGAGATAGGATTAGTTGACTTCTGAATTTTTTAACTGGCTTAAGTATTAGTTCTGGTAAACATGTAAGATATATATTTTATATTTATATTTTAATTATTTTTATAGTTAAATTATATGATTTTTATTTTCAGAGCTGCAGTGTAAAGATGGGGAGCTACAAACAGAAGATTTTTCTGTAAGTATCTTTCATTTAGTATTAACACAATATAAAATATAATCAGTTTTTAACCTGAGTAAACGATTGCATTTTTTTAAAAAAATAGAAGTTTGAAAATATTTATTAGATTTACAATGTAATTTGAAGAAGAATTTCAGAAAAATCTGAAAAATATTTTTATGTTTATACTATTATATAAGCCCATTATTCAATTGGCAGCATTAAGCAACCCTGGATAATCCTAAACATGGTTAAATATGATTACTTCTTAGATGGGAGAATTCCAAGTGTTACAAGGACCACTATACTCTGGTCAGGTAACTTAAAACTGAACAAATGGAGAGAATAGCAAACCACTCTCATATTGCTGGAAATGAAATTACATCTTCCTGTTTTTTACCAGAAGTTGAATCCAACTTGAGGGATTTTTAAAAATTATTATTATGGCATGATCTGTATGAAAAACTAAAATACACAAATAGCAGCCAATCCCATATATCTGAAATTACTGAGTTAATGCTAGCAAATATTGAGAAATATTTTTAAAAGCTTGCTAACATTAATTAGTTACTTATTTACATGATGCTCATGTAAGCATATTTACTGAGAAGCAAGTTCCACTGTGCTAATGGAACTGTCGGTTCCATGTTTTTTTTTCTTTTTAATATTGTAGGCTCTATACTGTATTATGTATAGAACTGTTAAGATGATTCATGAATGTTGACATTTTAGCATTTTGGATGTTATTGTAATTTTAGTTTTGTGTGTAAATAGGGAACTGTAGTTGTAATTACATACAAATATTTAACTTCAAGATATGTAGTTATTCATTCTCCAAGGTTGACCATTTTCTACAGATAAATGTCAAGCAAAATGGTAATAATGTACGGACATTCTGTTCCTAACAAACTTTTAAAGTATCCAAAACATCTGGCAGCAAATCATGGCTGGGAAATCAGAATATAATAATATTTTATAAAGTCACAATAATGCAGTACTTCATATATTCCATTTCAGCTTTTTACAGCAAATGTTTAAATGCACTGAATATGTTTATTTGCTTACACTGAAACTTTCCTATGGGAGTTAATGGTGTTTTAAAATGCTGTGTTTATTAGTTTAGTTTATTGCTGTTAATATTTTTTTCTCTTTGATAGTTTCCTGAGATCCAAGCAACATATCTTCGAATCATCATTTTATCTGCTTCTGATGCTTTTGTGTCAGTTCATAGGGTGATAGCAGAAGGATTGTCGCATGAAAGTTAAATGCAATATTCAGATTATAACATATTAAACATTAAACCTTTTTAAAAATGTAGCGGGCATTAACGACTAAGTATACTAACTGCAGTTGGTATTTAATCTTTTCAACTGAAATTGTAAAAAAAAAATTCAGCAATGAACATTATTTAAACTGATAATTATTTATATGATGATGTACAGTATATTATAGCTGAAATAAAGTAATACACAAGAATGTTCATTCCTCAAACCCTCTGTTATGTTGTCCAATATATTCAGTGCATCTGAATTTATAAAAAATAGAGTTAATTTAGTCTGAAGCAATCTTTCCTTTTAGACCACCAGGTTCCACTCCACCATTTTATCTATATTATAAGATGATACAATATTTAAAGAAAATAAGTTCAAGCTGGACAAAGATTTTTGGACCAAGTTTAATATTGCATCTTGTTTCTATAAATATTTTCCATATCAGGTCATAGTTCTCTATGTTTTAAACTATGACTATCATAAACAAATATTAATAGAAACAAAAGTAAGAAAATTATTATAGCTATTCCATTCAGAAAGTTCTTCTTTGCGGACACATTTAAAACTCGATGTGATTGTGCTTCTGTCCTTAAGTGGTTTGAATTCAAAGGATCCAATGCATCTGCACATGCTAGGAGTTCCATGAGAACAATCATGCATGTTTGTCTGTTCCAAATGTCACTTGGTTCTGCACCAATGTTCTCCAGAAATTTGATTCTATACAAAGACTGCTTCTGTTCAGATCCACAGACTAACAATTCCAAATACAGCTCTTATAGAAGAAATATAATTGAGAAATTACACTGTTGCAGTGCTCTGTTTGACTATCTTAGGCTGGGGTGTCAAACTCGTGGCCCACAGGCCAGACGTGTCACACGCTGGCCACACCTACCCTCAGTTTAGCGAAGGGGAAAATGTCACATTATGTCACATGATGATGATGTAACGATGTGAATTTGACACCCCTGATCTAGGGGCTGTTATATATAAAGCAACCCATCATGTTATCAGTTGAATGGCTTGCTTCATTAAAAAATTCACCACAAAGATATATTTCAAATTTGTAAAACAGTTTGTGTATCTACCACTGGCAATTACAAGAATGAAGATTAGCATTGGCAGATAATCCGGGGTAAATAGAATAAATAGATCTTATGTTATTTTTTAATTGAGAGTTCATGACTGCTGAATAATGATGTAAGGTTTTCACCATTATCTTTTCAAATAAATACAGCCCTTTGTAAATAAAAATATGTTTTAAAAATGTAATCAGGCAATGGAGTGTAAGTGCTGCTCAGAAACAGGTTGCGTTGAGGTGTTCTTTTACATGTAAAGTTGTTCCAAAAATTCACGTACTTCTTGCGGGCAATAATTCCAAGGTCCTGGTTTACCCTGTAAAAGGAAAAAAAAATCCAGTGATAATTTCTAAGGACAGTAATATAAAGTGTAGTCAAGGGATATAAAGTAATATAAAGAGATTAATAATTATAAAATAAATAGATTAAAAGATTAAGTTTTTCATGAAAGCATATGGTGTAAGAATATGAGCATGTGGCAGTAATAATAGGATATTTCAGAATTGGATAGACAAGATTACATTTTCACATTGAATTAGATGCCACTATTTTCTTTCAGTTATGGCAAATTATCAGCAAAACATAAGATGTTACATGAAAATATGAATAATAGTAATAATAATAATAATACATATTTAAAACAGTTTACCTGTTTTAGAAAAAAAAACTCTTGGTAGCAGTCTCCCCGAAGCTAACTTGATTCTCCCACAAAGTTTCAAATACATGTTTAGCTTTGCAAACTTGCACTTTACATAAATATGTAATAACTTTTCTTTTTTACCTTATACACAACTTTTCCCTTTTGAAGCACATACAGTCTCTCTGGCAGAGCTGCATATTTGTCAGTGCTCAGGTTTTCCATTGTGTCTACAACCACTGGACATAAGGGTTGCTGTTTTAGGAGCATCTGTGCAGCTGTTATACGATCTTGGAGGGTTTGGTGACTTTTAATAACAATATTGTTCTTAAAGGCCCATCCATCTAAAATAAAGAATACTTCATCTAAATCCATCTAAAACAAAGAATAATTCTAAAACAAATTAGACTATTGATACTGGATACTGGATATATTCATCCTTACATTTAGTAATAGAAGCTAAATAGAAGCTATGTAAGAGCCCAGAGTTTCTTGGTTTTTGTACTGTAACAATTCCGCTTGTATTCCTGTTTTTCTTCCAAAAGTACAAAACCATGATGAAACCAGTCTTATGGGCTATTATTATGCCTAAATAACTCTACAATTGTCTTATCATCTTCCAGAGTCTGCTGGCTGATAAATACACAGTGAAAGTATGGCTTTGATACTATTAATTTTATTAAATTTTTGCTTCTATTCATGCAGATAAAATGTCAAAGAAAGCAGTGAGGGTGCAGCCTCTTAGCTGTTGGGTTTCAGCAGCAATCTTTATTAAATTACATTTGACTTAGACAATCAAATATTGATATTTTTGGAGATTATACATACAGCATTAGATATACTATAATTGTTTCCAAGTTAAATTAGTTTCTTCTGTCATGTAATGTTAAATCTGCTCCATTAAGCTCTATAATTTATATTTAAGAAGAAATGCATCCAGGTTGGTAACCTAGAATACAATCCTTTACGGTCTAGTGACTAGATTTGCAGCACGTTTGCCTTACCTGAGGCATGAGCTTCTTCAATGTAGATTACAAGAAAGTCTGCTGCAGATCTGAAATCTTCAACAAGTTTATTAAACTCGCCGAATCTAATTATGAATGAAGGTCAGGTACAACTTCCAAATGTTAGGACCAAAGGCCTGTTACCTGCAAGAAAACACAGATCAGTCTTGAAGGGTAAAGATGAGAATAAGAATTGTTATAGTTCTAATATTTATTCAGGATTATTTATAATTAAAATGCTACATGTACAGTAATGTTAAGAATTTGGTCACATTCTTGTGTATATGAGACACCTAACATGGCTGCTTAATATAACATTTGAGAGATTTGAAAGGGCAATATGCTTTAATAGACTTTTATTGGTGCCATTTAGAACAAGTTCCCAATCTAGCTGGGGAATTCTGGGACTTAAAATCCACACATCTTAAAGGTGCTGAGGTTGAGAAAAATTGGTCTAGAACAGTGGTGGTATGTTACCGGTTAGGATTGGTTGGGCCAAATCGGTAGTAACAAAAGCCCACGATCAGCTAAGAGGAGGAAAAAAATCCTCCAATCAGCTGAGAGGAAAAAGAAGAGAAAAGCGCAGGATCGGCCTTCCCATCCGTCCCTACGCTTTTCTTTATGCTCTCAGCTGATTGCCACTGCAGGTCTCAGCTGGTGTGGGGAAAGCTGCACGCCGGCGTTAGGCAAACCATGCTCACCAAGCTACACTCACCGAACCGGTGGTAATAGAAGTCTTCGTGTATTCATTTCAGCACATGAAACCTTTATTAAGACCCTGCTAATGTCACATTAATTATTTTGCCAAGAATATTTTATGAGGGTACAATTCTAATTCTCAATAAGCATTATGGGATAAAGAACAACATTTTGTTTTTCATAATCAGCATCTGCACATTGTATAAAAATGTTGCATGGATTCAGCAGGAATGTTGCATGTATTCAGAAGCATGTATTTCATTTTAAAATGTCCCTTTTCCATTTTTTCTAAACCCAACAATAATCACAAGCAGAGCAAAGATTTAGAACCTTATTGGCATGACCAATAAAAATCCTCTAATTAAAATGATATTTTCAACATTGTTTGAAGAAACTTTATGATATGGTTAGCTATTTTTGTTTTTTAACTTATGTTTGTACTTGCAATAGAATTTTATATTATAGTGTTCTGATTTTTATTCGAGTATCTATACAATCTTTCTTGATCTAACTGATGACAACCATGAGTTTGTTCACAATAAAACTAAGCCAGGATTTTTTGAAGAAACTTTAGTAGCTTGATTCACATTACAATTAAGCAAAAACATAAAATTATAAAATTATCTCTGTTCTTCACATCACCCTTTATCAATTTCCCATCAAATGTATTTTTGTTTCTCCAAAATATTCAATTACCTATGGCAACTATTCAAATATTCAGAATAAGTTGTATAAAAGTTGAGCTTTATCTTAATTTCCAAAGCAGTGCAGTTAATTAGTTACTATGAAGTAAAAGCCGATAACTTATGAATATGTTAAGAGAGAGGCAAAGTGCAGTTTGTGCTTGTGCTGGCAATATGTATCTGGATTAGTTCAAGATTTATCATGCTCTGTTTCTTTTCTGTGAAGGCATTTGTTATAGTTTTTAAGAGGAAAAAATCTGAAGCATAGATTGCACGCGTGTATTTGAATGTGTGTATCCTTGGACCCAGTAATACATGCATATGCATAATCTTGTATATTAGTATGCCGTATGTAATTTTAGGTACAGTAGCATATGTTACTTATAAAAGTCATTTTGCCTGTGTCAATCATACATATATAAAGTTAAATTATTTCTTGCTAATATGTCAGAATTAAACTACTTAGCTCAACAATTCTAATGCCACCTTAACATTTCCCCGCAATTATTTTAACATGTTTTATGTCAATTCCAACTACTTGAAAAAAAAAATGAATTGTCTGTTTAATAAATAGAACAGAGTTAGTATCCTGATTTTAAAATGCAATTCTATTTCACTTGTGTTATTAGCAAATGCCATATTTCTCAAAAGCATTATCCTGGTGTTTACTTACCTTGCATGAAATCCAGAATGCGATGCATTTTCCCATTGAGATCTGCTACGGGGGTATTAGGAGCAGAAGAGCCCTGAAAGGCTTCATCTTCCAGCCTTTTCCATTTGACTTTCAAGACAAAGAGTAAGTAGGAGAAGCTGAAGAAAGTTGGACCCCAATTTTCATAGATGAATGTTGGGTTGTTGTCTCCCATGCCGCTCTTTTCTCTGTGCTTCAGGAGATAGCTCTTCACAGTACCTGGGAAGAAGAACATGCAGATTTTACCAATGATAGTAGATAGGCACACATGCAGAAGAATCCAGAACCTCTGTATAAATCTCTTCATTCTGAACATCTTGGCAGAAGGAGAGGCTGCCACATTCTGCAAAGTAGAATTCAATGTGGAGCAAAGTGAAAGGGGGAAAGAAGGAGAGCCTGAGCTAAAGTTAATAATTGTTAGGGTGGTTAGCTGCCTCAAATGACCAACATAACAGTTATCAGTTCTCTACCTTGAAAAAAATCCAAAGCCTTTAACTGAATGTTGTTTAAAATAAATAATGTTGTAAGGTTCAACATGTTCAAAAACAAGGATTATATAATCTATTTAGGAATTGAAATCCAGAGAAATCTTTCCTGGATATAATACTAGATTTCTTCCATGCAAAATCAATGACCCTACTCCTCAGAGGGTTTAACCATAACACACTGCTCAAAAAAAATAAAGGGAGCACTTAAACAACACAATGTAACTCCAAATCAATCACACTTCTGTGAAATCAAACGGTCCACTTAGGTAGCAACACTGATTGACAATCAATTTCACATGCTGTTGTGCAAATGGAATAGACAAGAGGTGGAAAGCATAGGCAGTTAGCAAGACATCCCCAATAAAGGAGTGGTTCAAGGTTCAAATGTGGGATATTTAGGACTTTCTATTTTATCATTATAAGACTCTTTTACAATAGACTAAGTTGGAAGAGACTCCCAAGACCACACCTGGAATACTGCATCCAACTTTGGTCACTGCGACACAAAAAGATATGGAGACTCTAGAAAGATTTCAGGGAAGAGCAACAAAGATGATTAGAAGACTAAAGGCCAAAACGTGATGATGCTATTTCTACTCTTACATTATTCAACTGGTGTGAAATATTATTACAAAAATAATAACCAAGGTAAGAGGATATTAGTTCAAGGCACAGTTCAGATTCTGCATGCTTTTTTTTTAACTTCACGCTTTCACCAGAATTGTAAACCCAAACTTACTTTTCTTTAGTCATCAGGAGTGGCAGCAAGTATGGCATCTATGTTGATAATATGGGAAGCTCTTCTTGCAAAGACCACTTTCATAGCATATTACACTCAGATACTTAGATTTTGAAAGATGCTGAGCAACAGCAGCAAATGAATTCTTGATTATTTGACTATGTCCAGTTCTTGAACAGTGTTCATTAATCACATCATGGAAGCGTGTTTGGAATGATCTTAGTAACACTAAATAAAATAAATAAATAAATTTCTTCCACTGAAAATTGGAGAAAATAATCAATAATGGAGGAGGAGGTATTTTTTTGTTGGTCAACCCATTTGCACCAAAATTCAGACTTGTGAAGAAAAGCTGAAATCATATGCTTCATGCCAAAAATTAGGATGTTTTGACACTAAAAGGTTGAAAGGTTAAGGCTATTCATACAACTGAGGTAGCTAACGTACAGTATGCTACTTAAAGTCACACAGAATGTCTTTACCAGCCTTCTCATTTTCATCAAGAAATATTTTGATCACTCCCTATACTCAAAAACTCTTGTAAGGACATTTTCTCACAAGTAGCTCTCTATTTCCATATGGAACAGCTGCATCTTGTATTCAGTGCCAGTTTCTTGAACAGCCTGCTGAAAAGACACATGCTCAAAGCCCTCTATTTTGATCAAGTTTGAATTCCCAGAGTTTGTTTTAGCAATGAATGGTCTACTCTTTTTGTTTTTGAGGGACAACTGTTTTCTGAAATATGCAGGGTGTGGCCTGCATATTCAGATATTGCTTTTTTACAAGTGTAAAAATGCCCTCCTTTATTTATACATACTGGTGTTCCATCAGTACTGTGAGATAGTGTTTTTCAAACTGGGCAACTTTAAGATGTGTGGACTTCAATTCCCAGAATTCCCCAGCCATACAATTTTTTTTGAAACCAGACAAGCTAGTAGCCACTCTGGGAAATTCTGAAAATTGGAACCCGCACATCTTGAAGTTGTCAAATTTGAAAAGCAGTGCTGTAAAAGATGGTGCAAAAACTTCGGAATAACGGAAAGAATGCTGACAATAAACCACCAAGAGATAAGACTGAACAACCTACCAAATTTTCTAAGATTACGTACCATATTCTTAAATTTGACAATAAATTTTCTTAAATAAATCTGTGAACTTTGTACCTTGCTGGAAGTGCCTTGAGAAGTGCATATCTCTCTACAGTATACAATTCTTCTAATCTACACCATATCTCACAAAATACTGATAGTAACCAAACCAAATATCACTTCTGGGTTTCCAGTGATAAGAATATCAGGTCCCCACTGTGGATTTTCTATGAGAAGAAAGGGGGAATTTTCTGCTCTTCCTGTATTTGTTACATATATATGATGTTCAAGAATTTAAAATAAGTTTTTCATCCAAAGTTCACAAAGCAGAGTCTTCACATTTCTTACCTATGATGTAACCAAATTACAAAAATGGCTGAGACAACTATAGTTCAAGGACAGAAAAACCTGTTTTTATTGCACTGGTTTTATTACTGTTTTAAATCCAGATAATGGCATTCAGATAAGGACTGGGAAGAAAGATAAGTCTTTGGTTAAAAGGTGAGGCAGAAAACCAATATAAAAATCTGTACAGGTAATTCTTCTAAATTCAACAAGGTTACTTCTGAGTTCTGTGCACCTTTGGCATGTAGCCATGCTGGCCACATGTCCACGGAAATTGTCTTTGGAGGACACTGACTCCTTCGGCCAGGAAATGGAGATGAGCACCATGCCTTCAAGTTGGATCCGATGGACAGGGAACCCTTTACTTTACTTCTGCCTAATCTATTTGGCAGGCAAGGAATATCAGTTCCAGGCAAAAAAGCCAATATATGCTGTAGTTGCACAACTGTTTTAAACCAATGATCTATAAAAATCTTTGAAGGTTATTTACTTGTACTCTTTGGTTTTACCAAATGCAAAATGCATTTCAGAAAGTTTATTGATCTTCCTTCTAGCTATTTACCCCTAGCCAGCATGGTGAGATTGGAAGGTACTGCACCGTGGAGCAGCAGAAAAGCCTAAACTTATAGAAGTGATTTACACCCTCTCAAGTGTAGGATGGCCATCTAAAGTTTTATATATTCTTACTGTATCTATATGCAGAAGTATACTTAATGGAAAGTGTCTGTAATTTTGGCCGTGTTAAATAAAGCGAAGTTGCTGTCTGGAGGGGAAAAATTCTGCCAAATTGTAGACTTTGAAATGGAAAAACTATAGATGTAAGTATTTTAAAATGTATATAGAGCTTTCCATTTTATTAAAAACACATTAGATTTACAATAAAATGATCAAAAAAACAATAAAATACAGTGAAATAAGTTCATTACAAAATGAAAGCCAAGGCAATTCAACTATGCTTGATGTAGCTGAATTGAAGAAATAGTAGAAGTGCCTGAACAAAAAGGTCATTGTTGACAAAGTGAGAACCTGCCCAATTTCAGTGTGAGATAATTTCACATATAGATAGTCCATGACTTACAACAGTTCATTTAGTAACTGCATTGAAAAAAGTGACTTATGACTATTTTTTCACACTTACAACCATTGCAGCACCCCTGTGATCATGTGATCAAAAGTTAGAAGCTTGGCAACTGGCTCATACTTATGACGGTTTGCAATCTCCCGGGGTCATGCAATTACCTTTTGTGACCTTCTGACAAGCAAAGTCAATGAGGAAGCTAGATTCACTTAACCACCATGTTATTTAATAAGTACAATGATTCACTTAACAACAAAAAAATGGCAAAATGGGGCAAAATTCACTTAACAATTGTCTCAGTTAGCAACAGACATTTTGGGTTCAATTTTGGTTGTAAGTCGAGGATTACCTGTAGTAGCCCCACACCGGAGAATTCTTCTGTCATATTGCTAAATGAGTATTATAGCATAGGAAGGAAGCCATTCCCCACAAAACTGTAAAGACTAAGTACCGCTGATGTAATATTTTAAAAAAAACATGGTTCTTAAAGACAACAAATGTTCAACAGTAATTATTTTAATTTGGAAAGTTTTGAAATAACTCTCTATTTCTTTCTGTGGCATTTTGCAGAAAAGCACACTATATACATTTTTATAGACAGTGTGTCCATTCAAATGGTATCTAGAGACCCAAAATCCCACTCAAAGTTTCCTCGTGGTCCAGGTTTCATTTTGGGTTGCTTCTTTTTGTGCAGCAACAAAATCACTCTCAAGCAGACCAATTCAGCTGATTCAGAACTTCATAGGAATCTCCTAGGTGATAAACAGAAATTCTAAAGTTAGTTATAATGAACAGATATTAAAAAGCCATAGAATTCACCCACATGGATTATACTATTAGCCATTATCTTAGATCACCACCAAAACCTTTTAAGAACTGGTGCCACATACAGATTTGTAGGAAAGTAGTTCATAATCAGAGACCAGTCAATATTTTGCCCAACAGTGGAACAAACAGGGATGTTTTCCCAATTCCTAAATCAAAAAACCCAAGAAGGCTAAGACAGTACTTCAAATAAGCAACATCAAGTGACTAATAGACTTGAGATCAATCTTAATAGCCCTATGGATTTGGCTCAGAATCAAGTTGGCAACTACTACAGTTCTTTCAACTCTATTATTGCTATTAGATATGTTATGTAACAAAAGTATTTCTGGATTGTTATCAACTACTTCCTCCATATAAAATGCACTGCATTGGTCCAAATGAAAGATTGCAAGAGGATCAATAAATAAGGATAGGCACCCTAAATCTAGGTTCAACCCTAATCAGTGTGTTTGGCCAATGCTGGGCAGACTCCATAGTGCCAGGCCTCCATTGATAAAACTGAGTCAAGGATGAATCCTTTAGCACAAGGGTGTCAAACTCAATTTCATTGAGGGGCGCATCCGGGTTGTGTTTGACCTTAGGGGCTAGGTGGACGTGGCCAAGGTGGGCGTGGCCAGATCAACATCACTCATGTCGGGGGCGCCTGTAATGGCCCGAGTGCTCTGTCAGAAAAAATGGTGCTTGGGAGGGCTGTGCGCGGAGGGTTGCAGGAGGCCGTCGCAGCCTCCTGAGCTCCATTTTTGCTGGCAGAGGCAGTGCAGGCAAGTTCTTTGCTGTTTCCTGGGCAGCCCCGCAGGACAGATCCAAGCATCCCACGGGCTGGATCTGGCCTGCGGGCCTTGAGTTTGACACCCCTCCTGTAGCATGTACACCTCCTTCAGAAGAAGCTTCCTATCCTCTTTCAGATCATGAGAAACCCCCCCACTTAGCAGGACCTCCATCTTGTCAGATTTAAATTGCTTGGCCATCACTCAACACATTATTGCCTCCAGACTGATCAAGCACATACGCTCTTGGCTCAGAAGAAAAAAAAGTTTGATATTGTCTGCAAGGTAGAACCTTGTCATCAAATATTTGATGATCAGTTCCAGCAGGGTCATACAGAGATTGAAACAGATGGAAGACAGACTGGAATTTTATGATTAAAATGTTATTTACTGGGCCAGTTTTTAATTTGAGTTGGAAGTTCAGGCTTCAAGCAGACATGGGAATATTCAGTATACTGTGGAACCTCCTTCTTTCTCTACAACAAATTGCAGAGATGGCTTGCTAGAGTAACAGAATAGTGATGGTGAACCTTTTGGGCTCGGTATGTCAAAAATTTAAAAGTGCCTAACATGATTCTGTTGGCATGTCACCACCTCCCCCAATCATTGCTTTGTGCAAGATGCTCCTGAGCTGTTTTGCAACAAAAACCTTCTGCAACAGCCAGGAAAAATGTGCTTGAAATAACCACCTAAGAACAGAAGCACATTTTAACTGCCTGCATCACTGCTTAAATTGATACCACTTGCAGTGGGTCCTGTAACACGGAAAAGTTTTTCTACGAAGGTAACATCTTACCTTATTTACTGAGCCTTTGTTACTTCTATTGTTCCATTAGGTGGAAGCGCTGTAGTCAATGAAATGACTTCCAGTTCAGGGGCATCAAAAAAATATGCCTACGTTAATGGGGAGCAAGAGGGAGATATCAGAACATCACGAATATCATAATCCCATATATTTGTATAGGGAGTCCTCAATGTATGACCGTTTGCTTAGCGATCACTCAAAGCTACGACAACACCCCACCCCAAAGGTATTTGCAATCCGGATTTGAAAGTTGCGATAGTTGGGCATCACCCCATCATCACATGATCATGTTTTGGGTATTCGGCAACAGGTCCGCATTTATGGAGGTGTCCCACAGATAAGTGATCACGATTTACAACTTTCCCATGTCCTTCTAGTTGTTAGCAAAAATGCCCATTGTGGACAATGGGTTTGCTTAGCAACCACAGCATTCATTTAATGACTACCACAAAAAAGATTATGAAATCGGGTACAGCCATGGGATGAACTGCTTCATGACTGGCATGACTTACGAGTGTAATTCCATATTCAGTTACAGTTGTAAATCAAGGATTACTTGTAATGTACTTGGGCAGGGAACAGTCAACATAGAAAGAACAAAATACTCAAAGATGACCAAGATAGAAGATTCAGAGGGTCAGATATGGGAAACCAATACCAAAACACTATTTATAGGTGATCCCATCTGAAAAGTATAGTACAGGAAGTCCTCAACGTACAACGGTTCATTTAGTGACCATTAAAAGTTACAACGGAACTGAAAAAGTGACTTATCACCATTTTTCACACTTACAACCTTTGTAGTATCTCCATGATCACGTGATCCAAATTCAGGTGCTTGGCTACTGGTTCATACTTATGACCATAGCTGTTTACCAAAGTCATGCGATCACCTTTTGCAACCCTTTTGACAAGCAAAATCAATGGGAAAGCCAGATTCACTTAACAACCGTGTTACCAACTTATCAATTGATTCATTTAACAACTGTGGCAAGAAAGATCATAAAATGGGGCAAAATTCACTTAACAAATGTCTCACTTAACAGCAAAAATTTTGGGATCGATTGTGGTCATTAAGTCAAGGACAACCTATAGTAAGGATGACAAAGGAAATAAGCCAAAAGTTACTTAGTAATTGAAAACTCTGTTAATTCTCTCTCTAACAAGCCTCCTGGGGTTCCCTCCAACAAGCTTCTAGAGATATTTAAGTAGTATGGTACACTTAAATACATATGGATACACATGTATATACAATATATACTATAAGTTTCCAACTATTTTGAATGGGTTAATTAGACATATCATTGTCTAATTCTACAACGGCTAATCAAATCTAAATAAAAGCAATATCGAAAAATAAAAATTGATTAACTGAAGGTAATTCTTGACAAGTTGAGGATTGTCATACCAAACAACCAACAGCTAGTAAGGCATGAAGAAGGACAACTGTCACAACTGTAGCCAATGCGATTCTCCGGTTGTCATCTCTAACAGCAGGCCAAAATGTCATCACTAGGACAGATCCTGAAAGGCACAGAGCAAATGCCATCAAAACCCATCGGAGAATTTTCTGTGGAATGATCCATAAAATCTACAAAGAGAAAAGGCAAGAAATAAAGTCCTTTACTGTCTGCAAAGTAAAACATTTTAATCCGCTATCTATCTAAAAATCATCCAGGTACATCATCAGCATCAGCTGTGATGGAGAAACCTGCCAGTCAGGAGTAGCACATTTGTCTCATCCTATCAGCACCTCATCACATGACAAGGAACCCTGTGGAATCACACATGGGAACCCTATATCTCTGTCCAGTCAAACAGTTGTAGCCTCTCTATCAACACACATTTGTGAGAAGAACGGCTGTCACCTTCCAGACATTTTGACACCTTTCTCCAACTTGACGCCCTCCACAGTAGGTAGGTAGGAACTACAATCCCTAGGGTTCTCAGCTGCCATTAATAAATCAAGGAATAATAGACTAAACAATTAAATTATCCCCTAAATCATATAATACAGATCTGTCAGTTAAACTTTGCACGTGGAATATCAAAAACTGATACTGATCTATTTAGCTGTTCCACATATTGTCACCTGTTCTTCCTAAAATACTTAACAGTACAATACTTACCGCTGTTGGTATATAAATGAAGAGTGAATAGCCATAAACACACACAATCTCAAGAAACGAGTAGGAGACAATGTTCACAACTTTGTTGTTTCTCCACATAAGGAATCCCCAGAGAGCAAGAGGAATTAGCCAGGCGTAAGCATAGATGGCTGTTGCAGCTATGGAGACTATAAAGAGATTTATTTTAGGATTACGATTCACTTCAAGATTAACAGGCATTTGCATCATAATATATTCAGCTTCATGAACTGCAGAGTAAACTATGCAAGAACCAGTGATATCCCTCCAGATTTTCTTTAAAACTCAGTAATCTAAATGAGGACCTTCACGCTATATACCAAACCTTGGAAAGTGACGATTTCTCCCATCACTTGGGGTGGGGGATGACAATTTCTACCATCACTTTCAATCAAGTGTTGAAATCAGTGACTGAAATCATCCCTAAGCCTCTGGCTCATACACTTTAATATTCATATATTTAGAACTCTGCTTTTCAATTCTATTTGCTGCTTTGACTACTTGCCAGAGTTGAAAGTAGGGCATGTGTTAAGTAATAAATAATATACTGATTTGCCAAGGAATGTGTGGATTCTGAGCGAGCCTCTTCATGTGCCCATTAGGAATAGAAAGCTGTTTTGGGGACCTTAAGATGTGCGTGTATCTTACTCATTTATCTTTCTCTCCTTGCATGTCAATGTGCCAAGCTACACATCTTTTAAAATGGAAGCCCCTTGGACAAGTGAGCAATTCAGGACAGAGCTGCTAATTAAAGAATTGAGCAGTTAGAGTTGAGAGTCTATGGCAATGTAACTCTGGGCTAAATATCTAATTTGACAAGTTATTTGTTTCTTAGTTTATGTGAGGGGTGACTTATCACCTTGTTGCTTTTCTTACAAGTACTGAACCCATCCATTCTGGTTACTGCTGTGGTTTACAAGGTGGACGATGACACATGCCTGGGATAGATCCAGGAACCACCTGCTCCAGTCTGGTTGAGAATACAACCTGGCACTGTTAACAGAAGCAGCCAAGCAAATGCATCTCTTTTACCAGGGATTACTCACGTTGGTGAGCGTGGCATCGTTTTCTCTTCCTGGACCCCATCATAGGAATTGGGTCTCTTCACCCTTTGTGTGAATGTTTGTGAGATCCTCTCTTGCCTTCTTCTGAAGTCAAAGCTGTACAGATGCTGTACTTCCTGCCTGCCCACCTTACACCTTTGGCTACCTAGAGCGAGAGGCACTGATTTCAAGGTTTGGCTGCAATGCCAAGCCTCCTGTGGGTGGTTTGCTTGAGCTCAGCCCATCAGGTTTGTTTTCTGTCCTGAATGATATCTCTAGAATGAGTGGTGCTTCTCCTCTCTGTCAGAACATGGTCTAGATTCCTTCCTCAGCCTTCCCCGAGAATCAGAGTTCCTGACTGCCTTTCAACATTCTGGCTACAAAGAAAGCTGCAACCTTCCTCAAACTGTTTCACCGCAATCCCCGCTACTGTACTCTTTCACTGGATAAAAACCGAACAGATACAAACTCTTTGAAATAATTTTACGAACCTTTGCGAAAATCTGGCACATAGTGAAAATCACGTTTACCCAGATGGATGAAGAATTTTGAAAGGTTACCGCTAATTGCAACAGCAAAGACTAGTGTGGCACATATCCAAAATGGACCTTAATTTGAGACAAAAGCAAATTCCCATTTTAGTTTGATTGACTTATTTGTATTCAGCATGAAAGCGGGAGAAAATCCCTTATTCAAAATTGTATTGTTTGCGCATACCATAAAGATCAGGATTACTCCGAATATGGAGTCTCACAAAGTTTTTCCCTGGCACTGGAAATACAGATCCTTTGATTCTGTCCAAAACCTGATAATAATTAAAACAACATAGATCATATGGCTAAAGATAAATAAACTGTTTAAATTAAAGAAATACTGAACACATTTTGGATTTAACAAAACCATCTATACATTGCCCCATTGGAAATCAGGATCTTGGGCAAATTAAGTATGGTTTATTCAGACAGAAATAAACAACGTGCAACATATTGCTTGCATTCATACATCAAGAAACCAAAAGCAAACAAATTACATGATTTGGATAATTAAATCCAGCCATTTTCCTTCTAATCTTTTTTAAAAAGCCTTGTTAGTTCCCTTAATCATAGGTTTGGTTTGCAAATAAGCTAACTCGTAAATTGGTACTGCTTGCTTTGAGCATTTAATGAATTCAGCCCTTGTAGTTTAATGTTAGGTGTAAGCCTGGTCGCTTTGAATTCTGAAAAAAAAACCCACACGACACTATTTAAAAAATAGCACAATGTGGTGATGGCTATAAATGAGAGAAAACAATAGAGGTCTTTCCCCCCGAGCAGTAAATAACGGTTTATTAGATCAACACTTCATGCATGGTAAGGTATACCAATGGACAGTTAGAACTGATTCAAAGATCAGACAAGATGGAAGGAGCATGCTGAATTACTGTATAATAGAAATGTCAATATCCAAGATTCCTTAAGAAATATCTCCCTCTCGCAAGAACATCTAGTACTAGAAGAAGTTAGACATTAGCTACAGAAAGTCACGGAATACCCACAGAAATATGGTTCTAACCAAGCTATGGCAGCAAATCTGGAAAACCATGCTAAAAAACTACAAGCTGTGAAGTGGCCAAAAGAATGGAAGAGGTCAATCTACATTCCAATGCTAAAAGAGGCGACTTATTGGAACATGCAAACTATTGTACAAAATCCTTAATTTCACATGCTGGCAAAGTAATAGGTCACACAATGCAGACTGGAGTCCTACATTAAAAAAAGAAATGCCAAATGTTCAAAATGGTTTTTAAAAAGGACAAAAAAACATTATGAAGGTTGCAGTATCCCCTAGGGTCATGTGATCACCTTTTGTGACCTTCTGCAAGGCAAATTCAATGGGGAAGCCCGATTCACTTAACAACCAGGTTACTAACTTATTAACTGCAGTGATTCTCTTACAATTGTAGCAAGAAATGTCATAAAATGGAGCAAAACTCACTTAACAAATGTTTCACTTAATAACAGAAATTTTGGGCTCAATTATGGTCATAAGTTGAGGACTATCTGTATGACGAATAAGAAAAATCTTAAACAATAATATATGTTCATGAAAGAGTGCAAAAATGATGATCATACCCATAAAGTTCTATTCCAACTATTTAAATTGGCAGAGAGAAGCAATGGAAATTTGGAAGGTTTTCAAAAGGAATGGTCATGTATACCTTTTTGTTAAGTCACATATGGACAAGGAAGTAGCAAAATAAATACAGAGCAGGATCTGCTATGCAGGATTGTCTCATGGAAACAAGAAGAAAAAAAGAAAGAAAACTATTTCATTAAAGTAAACACATTATGCACACGGTACACCAAACACATATGTGGAGATGACAAACCTGGTATGTATCCACATCAAAAAATGTCTGATAATATTCAAATGTCCAGAAAGGAGCACTTTTCTTCTGCCCAGCAAGCAACTGGAAGAGAGGATTTTTAAGAAGAAAGTACAGGTTTCTTTCTTATTCAACTATATTATTTACACATATCACTTATGTTAGAATCAGGAAGCTCTCCAGAGAAAGTTGAATTTGACATTTGTGCTGGAAATCAGAACTTTCAGGAAAATCTATGCCATATATTTTATGTTAGGGTTACTTACATTATGTTAAATCTACAAACTCGTCTCACTGAAAACACATGCTTGCAGTTTTGCAAAGTCTCTTGTCAGAAAGAGAGACAACCTGGCATCAACCTGGCCAAAGCCCAATCATTTAGACCACGCTCTAGTGAACTATAAGAATATATATGTATGCATGACTGAGAATGATGAAATTATTTGATTCATGGTTTGACCCAAACCCAGTTTTTACCCATTTCTTATTCCCAGTCATATGTGCACATATATTCTTTCCATTTCTAGGCTAGATAGCTGTGAATTTACTCAACCTATTTCAAAGTCTGTATAGGAGTTCAGATTTAATATTAAAGGCAATCAAGTAATGTCACTAAATTTTTGTCTATTGACAGGGACAAAATTCCCTTTTAAAGTTCTTGGAGTGGAGATTTCTATCCAGTTTGATATTAGAAGTGAAAAAAGCCATGCAGAATATCCTAAAGTTAATCTAATCTGTTTACACATAAGTGGATCCCTTTAATATTGACTTATTGAACCAGAAACGCAAACCAAGATTGTAACAATGGCAACAACATCTGTGTACAGTATATCTGCACAATGCTAATGGATGATTCAAGGCAATAACACTATATTAAGTGGGGAAATCCCTCATCCCATTAGATGGTTTCTAGCTGCGATCTAAATTTACACTATATGAATCATCCCAAGACTATTCTAGCGTGTCTCTTTCCTGCAAAGAGTTGTCCTTAATAGTTTCTACTGCTTTTTTATAGTGTTTATTAACAATATGAGGAAGAACAGCAGTTTGTCGGATAGAATCAGTATGTTTTCATCAAACCTCAGTTTTATCAGAATCATCTGTCCCCAGAAGTTCATCGTCTTCTTCTCTTCCAGATCCTTGCAGGCGTCCATGTTTTTTCTTTGGTTTTTCAGTAGGTTCATCAATACTTATAGTGACGGCATCTGGGTTGGCTGCCAACAAGTTAGCTGCATCATCAAATTCTGAAAAACAAACATTTCCTGCAGAAGACTTTATTTTTCTTAGTGTTTCCTCTCAAGGCACACAGTTATATGGTATTAACTCTTGTATCGTATTCTAAAGTAAATATATTGTCAAATTACCAAGACATTTGTTTACTCAGTTAAACAAAGTTTTGGATCCATGCCCTGGAACTGAGTTCACCAGAATTGTTATTTATTAAAAATGCTGTTTTCCATTATACTGTGTTCTGAAATTGAATATAAAAAGAAGCACCACAAAGCAGAAACCCAACAGGGAGATTTGTAACAAGTAGCAACAAACAATACTTACCTAACATCAGGAAGATTTCTGGCTTATTACACCTTCTCAGTTACTTGAGTTAATCTTATTGTATATAGCTGTAATAAATATGCTTTGAATGAAACCAAAGGCCCATCTACTGCATCTCCTGTTTTGGTCAAGGAACAATTAAATGCCAAAGGAGACGCTGACATTAGGTTTAAGCAGAATATTTTATGGAGAAGATACAAAGAATGAAGTGGATATGTCATTTGAATTCCTTGGTGAATTAAAAATAATTACACCTTGAGCTAATTCCCATTAGGAAAGGATAATTGTATTCAGTTCCACAATGATAACACTGCTTGTTAAAAATAAGTGGCCGCATCATGCACTATAAATGAGACAGATTAAATTCTCAATGCAAAGCAATGACGCAAAACAATCTAAAGGTTTTGGAAACCCCTTTTTGAAATGTACCTTGGAACTTGAAGTCATCCACAGCTGCCATTCATGCAGTGATATCCTTAGTTTATTAACAGGAATTGAGCAAAATTCTGAAAAATATAAAGAGAACAAATATTGTCTTAAACTGAAATCCATAATTCTATTCTTCATTGGTGAAACAGATTTCCAGAGCTCTTGCAGCTGTTCAACATCATGCAACAGATTCTCCAGATCAGTTCATTTAATTTAGAATACAAATTTGCCACAAGCATTGAGAGGATACATTAACCTAGTGGGCAGAAATGCCTGCATAGGGAAGAATGCCAGAATAGGGAAAAATGCAAATAACTCCAAACCAATTACGCAGCACTATATAAAGGAAATTATCTCTTCTATGTCATCTTCTATTAATATCATTGATTCACCCAATTTGACTTGAGAAAAATACCTTTATACATCCCAATTTAGCTGGATAAAAAGAAAAAAAAGCCTGACAGTCAAACTGTACAGAGTAGTCATAATCCATTGTTTGCTTGAGATCCCATTATGTGTTGCCTTGGCAAGCGGTATGTGTGCACACGGTTAAACTTCCTACCACCAATACTGGAAACTCATTGAGTGCTTTGCACTTGTCACTCTCTTGGGGGGGGGGGAGGAGAGAATGCTATGTTTACTTCCTTAAGCTTCAGAATGAAAAATGGGAGAATTTTAAAAAAACAACTCTAATGCAAGGAAAAGAACACTCTGGCTGGCATTCAGTCAGAGAAGAAGTGGGAAAGTTGTATTTGGCTAATAAAAATTATATCTCTAGCAGATGTTGAAAAAAAAATCATCTTAACAGTATTTGAAGCTCAACAGATTTCGACTTTCGCTTATATATTCTGGTCATTCTATGAAAAATATGAAGCAAAAGCATGTACTTTTCCAAGTAAAAAAAAATCAGTACTAGAAATCATACTAGAAAACGTAATGCTTAAGAGATTTTGCAGCAGCACTGTGAAATGTAATTGTTTTTACTGCAGTATGCTTTAAAAAATTTTTACACAGAAATCTGTATTTGGGGTTCTTTCCTTTCCAGCACACCTTATATACTGCTGTTACCCACGGAGTACAGTAACCTCAAAGAAAACTTATCATCTGGCCACATTTAAACGCCAACGTAACCTCCATCCTCCCTTTGCCCATGATTGCAAAATTACAATCAGGAAGAAATAAAATTGCAGATCGACAGTTACGGAAACATGCTTCTAAATAGTTAGGGTCATTTAAAGAAAAGCAGATAATAATGCATCGCTCTTATGTCGGGGAAATGGGTTTGATCCAACCACCCTCAATTTCTTGAACAGATTTTACAAGGCACATTATGTTGACATTCACATCTGAAATCTCTTGGGAGTTGGGGTGGGGGTGGAATGGGGTGTTACTAGCCCAACACGGATTTTATCCCTCTCCCTAAAGACAGGCCGCAGTCAAGAGTCCTACCCAACCACACCACCAGGCGGCGCCGTCGCTACCTCCTCGGGGCAATACAACGATAGAAGACGCCGAGAACCAACCTGTATTGCCGGAAACAGCAGGCACGAAGGAAACCCCACCCACTTTTTCCGCTGTCTCTCGCTCTTAAAAGAGACAGAAGGCTCTTGTGGCATCTTGACCAATCAACGTTGCTCTCCCCCTTCCTCCCCCTCCTCCCTTTAAAGAGACAGCAACAACCAATTGCAAATGCATTTTTCCCTACCTTGGTACCCTTAAAATGTGCTCAAATGATGTTTTAATTACAGGAACAGTTGTAGCCCAGGGAAAAGACTAACTTAAATGGGAAAGCTTTTCCGGCAGTTTAAGCTATAGTCGATATGTTAATCTTTCAGGTCGCAGAGTCACCTTAAAGAAAAAAAAAAGCCCAGAAAATCCATTTCCTGAATGGGCTATGACGGTGTCAGCAGGTAGCCAACCGTGGATACTCTTAGGAGTTTCAGCCGAGTCGGATTTGAATAGAAATCGGATAGGAGGCCACTCGGCAATCCCAGAACCGTCAGTCAGGCCCCGTGTTTCTCAACCTCAGTAACTTTTAAGCTATTTGGGCTTGCTGGCTGAGAAATTCTTGGGGCTGAAATCCAAATATTGCAGATTGAGAAATGCTGAGCAAAACTGGGAAGTCGAAAAGCAAAAGAGTGATAGCAAATAACTTCTATATCGTTGCCAAAACACACTGCATGAATATAACTTGAGAAGTGACCAAGAAATCTCTCGGAGATTTCATTTTCCTTACTTATATAATAATTCCGGCTACGAAGCAAAACCCATTTAGCGGTGGAGGCTGTTCTGCAGTAAACATGAACTGCAGCGATCTTCAGATACTGCAATCTTCCTAAGATCTTCCAATAAACATTAATTAGTCAAAGATGCAAACATCTTTCGCATTCTCCCACGAGGGACAAAAAGTGTACAGTCAATGTTTTTAAATGTCCGACTTCGAAAGTGAAAAAGTCAGGAATTCTATATAGAAGTTATTGGCCCAGTTTTGCAAAATGTGCTTTTCATTCCCACCCCCCACCCCCCACTCACTTTTTAGCTGCTTTGATGGATTCCAGCTTAAAGGCGTGGTTTTTTTCCCCACGACTGTAATATATGGTCTGGGCTTTGTTTTCTTTTCCCACTATTTCTCGTCCGTTCTCCACTTTTCGGAAAGGGATTCGTAGATTAGACATTCTGGGCGGGCTCAAAAACGTCACTGAAGCCATTGACCTACTACTGGCAGGAGAGCGATGGCTGCTGGGAGTACATCCGGGAACCGATACCGTTCATTGCTTTTTTTGCACGATGGGAGATGTTTCAACGCGGGAACAGCTCGGTGTATGTATAATTCCACGCTCGTATTAAACGCGCCTAAAGACTAAGCGTGCACGCCGGTTATCAACATATTCGTGACTGCGATGAATAATGATTCGTGATACAAAAGTGTCTAAAGGATACTTGCTTGATACTCGCATGAGAATCTGCAATTGCTGTATGCATTTGGGGGACTCGTGTCAACACGCGCCTGCAATGGCTCAGCGTAGATGATGAAAATACAAAGACGCCACGCTTTTCAAATTTAAATTTTCTATTAAGCTGGACCTCTTTTTTTCCTCCATAAAAAATCCTGAAATTGCCACTGGCAGATCGTTTGCTTTTAACGAAGAAAGGAGCCGTAATGCTATGAGCAGGTTTCAATGGCTGGGTTCACGTGGGAAGCTAAGCCCTAAAGCAGTTGCTTTGCACGTAAATATGTGTAAATCCAGTAATTGTGATATACAAAATATGGCTTTGTATTTATCTGTGAAGCCTGCATTGTCTTTCATTCAACAATTAAAATAAACCATAACTTTATCACTAAGCTTATGTATGAAACCAGCTAGTCTGTTAAATCCTGAAGCTTTTTTTTTTTTTGTAATCTTGAGAAGGGAATAAACTAAAGAAATTTTGCTGAATTGCTAGTGCAGGAAGATTTCTCCTTTTAGGAAATTGAGCATGGGAAATGGAGATTCTGCTGCTTGTCACCTTAAAAGGAAAATAACTTGTAGTCTTCCCCAATCTAGTGTCATCCAGATATTTTGGAATTACAACTTTCAGAAGTCCCAACCAATCTTTGGCCAAGTTGGTTAAGAATCATAACACACCTGAAAAGCAGGAAGTTGGGAATCTGAAGGCTAAGGATTATGGCATATTTAATTATATTTTTATCCCATTCATCCTCAGTAAGGTCAATGCTGCATTTGCATACTTTATATCAGTATGCAATCATTGTTCATTCTGTAACTATTGAAAAAGCTTATCTATTAGTGTTTATCTATTAATAAGATCATCAAAAATATCCTCCAAAATAATCCCAAAGTAAATTACACAACATTAAGGGCATCAGTGATCAGGCTAGCTAGCAGGTCAGGGAGAAAGAGAGTTAAATGTAACCAGTCTCAATAAAAGTGATGGACTGAGCCCCCTTTCCCCATCTTTTTCATGTCAATAGTACTTTTAAACAAAATGCTGTCCAAGTATTGTATGTTTTAGTTACAATTGGTCTGAGCAAGTACAGGTTTTTTTGTGGATTGGACAACTGTACATGCCTTTGAGAGCTACTTAGACAATAATCCCACGTGCTAGCAAGGCTGGCAGCTTACTGGAACTTGAACTGTGAACGTTCAGCTGTGTGAATGGAGCTTTAGAATCAGAATTTTTCATAACTCTTGCGTGCTTCACTCTGCCTGTATAAACTCTGAAATCACTGACTTCCAAGATTGAAATCTGTGATTATAAAAGTACCCTCTTTCCCACAGCCTCTGGATAATTTTAGTGAATTTGCCACTCGTACTTTACGGGTGTGTTCGTGCACCATATTTTATCTAGTTTGATACGATACAAGGGTTTTTAATGGAATAATTTGAGGGCCACCCTTGTTTGCTAGGGAGCAAGCCTTTTGGACAGTACCCAAGTCAAGTTACACTATTTGGCAAATTTATGCCTCTTTTATTATTGAAATACAAAAGATTAAAATAAAGTCTGTGGAAGCATGGTAGGGGTCTAGGTCATCCTACCCATGGTGTGAGAAAGGGTGGGAGTTTGTAGATGTGTTAAAAAAAACTAAAAGAAATGATGATGCTGAAATTGCCTTATTTTATCCCTGTTTCTGCTTCCAGTTCCCATTCTTGGATGCTAGAGGGATGGGATTATCTTAATTTCAGATTAACTCCCCTTGTTCTAGTGACCTGTAACAATCTCAGATTAAAAACTGTTTAAGTTATTCCACTGTGATCTCTGTTTGGATTTATGTGACATATTTTATATAAAACTGAGTATGTGTAGTCAAATGTGGCCAGAATTTTTATTTTTAAATGTCAAGTTTATCTTTCCCCAACCATCAGAATTGCAAATGTTTGATCTAAATGTTATTTGGTAATTTGTGTGTTGGTGTATGGAAACAAAGTGCATTTTTTCTCTCTAGATCTTAAGATGGAGAGCAGCAACAAGCATTGCTTGGTCGGTGCTATTGCTTCCTCTGTGTGTGGCAGTGTTTATCAGCATTACCAGTATTGACCTCTTCCATCCTATTCAGTGGATCACAAGTATGTACAAAATTCACCCAATGTTGGATAACCATGCTATAGAATAATACTACTGCATAGTACTTTGTTGTATTTTAATCACGCTGCTTTGTACCTATGTTGATAACGCTTATACAGCATTTCAGATTGTCACATCTCTGATCATGGTTTATGATAACCTCTGATTAATTTAATTAGAGGTTTAGTTAACTAAAAAAGCCATCTGACAAAATCTTGTCAACATAAAACACTGCCAGAATAATTTAGTTGCCTTTTGCCAACTCTTAGTTTTTACTAAAGTTAGATAAAACTAAGATTCGGGGAAAGGCAGCTAAAATTTTCTCTGCAAGCATGGATTGTACATGCAACCATGGACACTGAGTTGAGAATTGTCCTGGAGACTATGGAGTCTCTGGTGCTCTCTGAGCTTGGTTGTTTTCTTATAGACATTTCATTATCCAATTAGGTAATATCCTCAGTGCAGAGACTCTTTGAAATTCAGATTTACAGGTCCGAAACTGTTGTTTCAGTTATAGCTGCTTAATAGTCTTTTCTCAAAAGGAATTCACTTTTTTTCTGTTCCAGATTCTTTCAATGATTTGTATACATCCTATGTGATCTTTTGCATACTACTGCTGTCTGTAGTGATATTGGTAATAAATGTCTTCAATGTTCAATTTCACACAGGTGGGTACTGAAAGACATCGATTAAGTTGTACAGCTTGGCCCTGATTAGTGTCTTGAACATATCCTTACTTTTAAGCTTCATTTTGACATCTCTCTTATTCTATAATCCAAAGAGAAATTGAGTTATTCTCCTAATTGTTCCTTGAATCATCAATATCTAAGACTTTTCAGAAAGCTGGCCTTTATCATTGAACAACATCTCTGAAGGTGGTTTGATGGGTGGGATGGTTTGAATATCATTACTTTTCCTATTAAGAGCTGTCTAATAGTAAAATAAATGGTGGTGGTTGGAATGCCTTAGTTTGGAACATGATGCAATAGGAAGGAAATCTAAGGGAGTGGTTTAAGGAGGAGATGGTTAATTTTGTTTTCTTTACTTTGCAGTTGTGCCTTCTATTCACTGCTCCCGATTAGCCTTAATAAGCAAGATTATCCACCCGCAGCAGGTGATCCATTCAATTGCCCATGCTGTGATGGGGATGCTGGTGGCTTGGTGTGCTGCAGTTATGACCAAGGGGAAGTTCCTTTTTTTGTCCATGCCCTGCACAGCTACAACAACAGAAAGGTATAATCCCGAAGCTTTCCATTTATACATAACATGTAAAACTGAATAAAAACAGCATTACCAAATTTTTTAAAATACTGTTTACACCTCTTGGCTTGTCTGGGGATCTTCTCCGGTCAGTTCATTGATCTTTGTGTACCAGCAACAGACAAGCTATAGTGGATGGCATAGCAGACTGGTGGGTGTGTTCGTAATCTTTCCCCACTGCAAAGACAGAGTGCAGATTTTGGGTTTGGACATCATGTTTTTTGCCTTAATGACTTAGGTATTCATGTATGTTGTACAAACAAGGCCAATAGTAATCCTTCTCCCGCCCTCCATTTCAAATGAAGAAATCACACAAATAATTTTGTTCAGACCAATTGCTTCTTTAAGGATTAAATCGTTGTAAGAAATCATTGGCACCAGTAAGCAGAAGTATTTTCTTTTGGGCTACCTCTGAGTAGAAGTCACGTTGAGGCTTCTTGCTTCTGAGACATTAATCAGTCAGAAAAAAAAAAACTATTTTCACAGCAGCTAATTACAGTCCTGTAATATTTGTACATCCCTGTTAGATAGTGCTAAGACACTTGTGCTGTGGGAAAGAACTTGTGTGAAACTTTGCTGTTTGTTTATAAAATAAGGGGAAATAGTTTACAAAAAAGAGGATTCCTATCCCTTCCAAAAGTACCAAATCATCATGTATTTAAACCAATCTTCTCCATTCTCATGATCTCCAGATTTTTTTTGAATATTTATCAAATGGAAATTCCTGGAGTTCTGATTTCAACATATTTGAAAGTTCGCAACATTCCATATATATCTTTTTAAGAAGTTCAAAATCAGATCCTATATTTTTGAAACTGAAGCAAAGAATAGAGTTCTGCGTGACTGCATGCAAAAACTAAAATTGCTGTTTTGCTGCAGTGCTGCTGATGCTACCCTTCACACATGCCTGAATGAATACCATCTCTTCCTTTTACTCCTTGGAGCTTTTATGGGTTACAGTTACAGCCTCCGATATCTTGTCAACAATTTGAACTACCTCCCATTTCCTGCCATACAAGTAAGTTGGTAAAATACAAGTGTATGAGGACCTTATATCTGATCTTGCAATAGTCGCCAGGATATGCCCAGGAAAAATACCTACAATATTCACACATTAAGCTAAGCCAATGCAGGCTTGGCTTTTTAACGTAATGGAGAAAACCTTCCACCCTGTGGCTTTATGCTGTGGGTTTTTTTATAGGATACATTCATGTGTTACTTTAAAAACCAATACAATCAAGTCATATAATGGCTTGTTATGACGTTTCAACTCTTAGGATGAAAGTTGGGAATGCTGCATGTAGGGAGATACAATTTAACGAGGACAATTTT